TGTATGTGCTGCGAAATGTCCTCAATATCGAGTATAAAACGGGCTGTGAATTAGACGACAAACGTCCGCTTTGCCTGGCGTCATTTTGCCTCTAGGGGGCCAGTCAATGACGTCATCAGTAAACACTGATAATTGAACCCATTCATTCTAGTTCGTCAATCCCATAGAAGTGCTACTATGAAAGACCATGTTAACTGACAATTTAAAAGTTGAAACATGGTGAGGTGTTGTGCGTATGAATGCCATAACGATTCATGTTATGTTCACGGAAAAACCCAAATGAAAAATCACGTTTTTGGTTACGAGAAATCGGCAGCAGAACAAACCTTAAACCCTAGTTAAAACTAAATTAGAAATACGCTAACCACAGTCCCTCTATCCCTGGCCTGAAATCGACTCGCGTTCTTTTGTCTCGAACCGCGTTGCGGGTAAACAGATTACAATACCGTATTTAAAATTGGCAAATTTACCGTCATGTATGACTTCATTTTGACTTCAAATTCGGGCAACTACAACGTAAACAAAACATTTAAACAAAATTATCACTATGAAATTTGGGGTTTTTGAACCCTGATACGTATCAAAACCAGCCTACCAACTCATAAACATCCAGTTCCTGTCATGTAACGATTAATATCAGGAATTATGTTCATCTTCTAGTTTTAATAGGGAAAAAACTTTGCGTACCAATATGCTGACATCGCTAAACAAATCTTGTCAAAATGGCGTCGCTCATGTTAACGTGGTCGATCGAAAAACCTGTGATATTTCTGGGGGTTCATAACAGTTCAAGTCAACTATACAGCAACTAATGACTTTATTCGATGCAAACGTATAAAACAATGTTTCAATTTTTGTATATAAATGGTGTTTTTAGCACTGAATAGCGTACATTGTCATTTCAAAACGTCGGCATTTGCATTTACGATCGAAAACGCTTGCATACAAAATCGTCCAATTTAACATTAATAAAATGCAGCCCACCAATTTTGACTGATATGTTTGACCATAAAATGTCAAAATCGAAGACAAATATTGGTTTCGCGCCAAGAAGTAGGTAAATAAAATAGAGTTCATTTCAATCACCTCAAAATCAAAGCTGAACAATTTCTGGGTAAAGGAATGAAAATTTGTTGCGAGAGTGTGTCGCTGCTGGTAAAATAGATGAATTAAAGAACTACTCGCCGGCTAAAATATGACCTTATACAGATATCCTGATCAAAAAATTATGTGAAAAAGCTTGAATTCTGGAATAAACAACTAAGTTGTAGATATAAACGTACCTAGTGATTGAACAAACAACTCAGGATTAACACGTGACATTTGCATAAACCCATGACTGACAGTCATTTTGAGCAGCTAAAACGACTGTCTGAATCATGATTTCCCATAGCTTTTACGTGGAAATCACACTGACATCGCTCTGAACTTGTAAATTAACATCAAAATTGTATCGCGGATATATTTATGTTTGTGTACGACATGAAAATAAAGCACCACGGGAGTTAAGATTGCCGAATAGACTGATTTAGCGGAGCAACCCGAAGCGATGTTTCATGCTTGAGTGTCATTTGCATACTGACAACTGGTGGTCATCTTCCCTTTTATATATACGGACCCGCGGTTTAAACGTAAGCTATTTGACCACTCGCCAGATAAAATGTCAGAATGCCGTTGAATGCCGTTGACTGGAATTACTTTCTCATGAACGTACCACACCATATATTCACAAGTCACACAGCTTATAACGTTTTCGGTTAGTATCAGCGTGGAATGCGTAAAAATGCTCACAGCGTAGAACGCGCCGCAGCGATCCCGATCGGTGCGTCGTTTCAGTGGCGGCTTTGCCGTACATTTTTGCTTCATATATACACAGTCCCTCTATAAGAGGGACTCTGATATAAAGAATACCCTATACATCAAAACAGAGTATTTTACTTAAAATCCATTCTGACACGTTCGCTGTCTAGGCTATTTCGGATGACTAAAGTTCCTCCAAAACATTGAAAGCAACAGCGGAAGTGCAGCACCTCAGTGGCGGATCCAGAGGGGGGCAGGGGGCCATCCCCCCCCCAAACGCACAACGATTCATATTATCTGGATTACGCATAACTTCTCTGCGATTTTCGCTCCGTAATTTTAAGCGAAGCTTGCCCTCCCCCAATACTTTTGCTGGACCCGCCACTGCAGGACCAGTGCAGCGAACGACAATTTGTTGTGCGCAGTCGTTCCAGTGACGTCATCCATGTTATATACCCATGTAATATCCACTTGGCGTGCAATATACAATGTAATATCGATATTTATTCAATGTCATGTGACTGAGTCTCAATCAATCACAGCATGCGTAACAGCAGTGAGATGTGATAATATGAGGTCATTACGATGATATTTGATTCAAAGTATGCACGAAGACAGTACAGCGAAAGTATCGACCGACGCGCGTACTGTCTGATTGCATACTTCGAGGTATCCTCGTAATAACCTTATTATTATACATCTTTTCCTTTCAAGGATACATCATGGGAATGCCGAAGTTTAGAACAAAATTAAACCCTGGTGGCAGCCATAATTGTTTTTATTTTTAGAGGACGCTCACGCGCGTAATCATGCCATATTTGGAATTCGCTTTTCCTAATATGGTAGGATGAAAATACCCTGTAAATTACCGTAAGATTATGGCACGCTGTAATTTATGGCGTTACGGTGACAGATGTATAATAATGAAGGTTATCCGAATTCGAATATGAACGCCATGGAAAGAAAACAGTTATTTCCCTGGAGTGAATGTGAATGTTTTCTCTATCAAGGTGGCTATCCAACAATTGCAAGTTATTATGACTGTTCCTAATTCCGCCTTATTTGCAATTCCACGATATTTGATTGCGTGAAATTTGGATATTATGATTAACTTTGCGTGTAATAAAATTAAATGCGAGGTGTAAGGTAGCCATGTCTGTTGTTCGGCGTCCAGCGTCATCGTTCGTCATCGTTCGTTGTCTGACGTCATTCATTGGCCAATAATTATCTTAGGCTTCCAATAGTTGTTTTAATAATAATTTTCGCCTAATCCAAATTAAAATCGTATAACATATATCCTTGAATCTTGGGATCTGTTACAGAAATGTGAGTGAGGTTATAATCTTTTGACTGTGCTCTATGAAGAAATGCAAAATCCACTATCTAAAATCGTGTCGGATTTAGTTGAGAGGCCAAATTAATCTATTTACAAAGCGCCTTCAACTAAATATACATTTTGAGTTGAGTATACTATAACGGTCGTATGAGAGACTTTAAAGGTCACCAATGGGTGAAAGGTCACCAATGGGTGAAAGGTACATATTACCATGACACATCTATTAGTAACATACATTATAGCGGAAAAGTAGTAGCATTTTTGAACTATTTTATTAAATAGTTTACTTTCTAGTATAACAAAATGGTCCACTGCACTAACTACTTTGAATAATGCAGTAAAATAAGTAAACATTTCACTACATATTTATTTTATTCACGCGTACATCACATCAGTACCCACTTTTTATTGCAAATTCACAAAATAGTCTTATTTATAGTCTGCACTTTTCTTCAGAAGATTTGGGGACATAAAAGTAAGAGAAAAACAAACGAAAAAGAAAAAAATGTAACAAGGCAATTCGATCCACCGGACTATTCTTATCACGAGTGGAGGTGGTTTTTCATGTTATATAAAGCAGCAGAGAATAAACACGTATGAGATTTAATAACATCCCTGCAATATATAATAGTAGTTAGTGATGGGGATACTGGTAATGATGACACTGAAACCTTATAGTACAAGAGATGCACTGAGTATAGACTATGTAGGAAAGCAAATGAGATGACTAATCAATGTACATGATTTTATAATAAGATATAACATAATTATAATAGGTGACCAAAGGCAAATAAATGATGCAATCTACTTGGGGTATGTCATAAAAGAAATATTTAATGCATCATGATATCAACATCAATACTTCAGCAACAAGACACACAGACTAAATACTTATGTGGCAAAGTGTGTGTTTATGACTTGGCAACCATAAACAAATCAAGAATCCAATGCAGTATAACTCAATGTATAGTTTCAGGCCACAGTCAGCTGGCGTAAAAGTGATAATAAAATAAAATGCGATATTTACTATATGGAGGCCGCCGTCCTGAATACGGCAAAAAACTAAATAAAGAGACATGTTTTGAAACGCGTTTTCAGATTCTTACAAATCAGGAAAAAATACCAATCTTTCACATCCAAACAAACCGTTTGCTAACAAATCTCGTCGTTTTTGTGTGGAAAAAACTATTGCATACGAACACTTAATTACATGAAGGACATGGATCACATTCCTGGGGTATTTGAAACCAAAAATTGTCATTCCAACGTAGCAGCCAATCAGCGACGTACTTACAGTTAGATGACAATTTCGGTTTCAAATACCCCGGGAAAGTGTTCTATGTTCTTCGTGTAATTAGGTTCAAATCCAAATTTGTCTGATGAAAATGTATACAGAATCTTTTCATATTTACCAAATCTGATAAAAACGGCATTTCGATGTAGCAGACTATAAAAATCAAGTTGTTCCCAGGTGTTCCCAGTAAAAAAAACTTACATCCGGGTATACACCAATCCAGCATTCTATTACAAGATTGTACCTGTTTGGCTAAACATCTCTTACGTCGAACAGACAGACCAATCAGAGAGTAGGTTCTTTGTTTCGATGTATCAAATTATGCCGAGTATATACGCTTCGATACAACAAGATGTATGTGCTAGCGCGACTTGCGTCCAATGAAACAGTGATACGATGCGCTGGTCGGGTAATTTGTTTACTTGGGGTCAATAGTGTACGATATACAGAATTGATGCTACACGTCACACGATTTCATTGCACGACAGTGATTCATAACGCTGGCGTCAGCTGTGCTATATTAAACATGTATAAAAGTGAATAATAATTAACACATCACGTGACCTATGACGCGACACCAATTGATAATAGGCGAATAGTTAGCAGAGACAGCAGAGACTGCGTATAGCACGATAAGACGTCGGATTTATCTGTTTTTATTGGACTTGATTTTTTATTCCGGAAAGTTCTATATCATCGGAAGGTGAGTTTTATCCTAATTATTATTTTTTGAATGATTTGGTCGATCAAGGGGTTGTTTCCATCCCCATCTACGCACTGATATCTATTAAATACGATGCAGTGATTGCGATGGTGTCGCAACTGTGTTGTCACTGGTCACTGGTCCATCTCTTTGGGAAAAAAACAAAATAAAACAAAAATACGAAATACTGATAGAATTCAACATTTTAATATATAAATATCACCCAGCATTATTTGGTTTAAAAATCGCAAAAATACAGCATTTCAAAAAATGATATCGTGTTTTATTCGGGCGAGCCATGTACGTAGCGGGTTACAGGTGTTACCACCCTGACAGGGATTATGCAGTACCATTGTGAATTGGAGATTATTGTAAGGTCACATAGAACAAAACATGGAAGTATTATATGTTTTATTGTTAAAGTGTGCTATTGTAGACCTTGTCCAGTGTCGTGGAATTCACGTCAGCGTACTACCCATATTCAGATGTGACTTCATTGATTGATCATTGAGTCCCTTGCCAACAACTGCTGCCACACCGAATAATATAACACAAAAATCATTAGATCTAAGAAGGATCATTCAATATAAATCTGGTGACCTTTAATCAGTTTCCCAAATGATTTGTTTTTCTTTTCAGATTATATGAACTGTATAGCTATGAAGTGTGCTGTTGTTTTAACGTGGGTTATTACATTCTTGACCTTGACGGACAGTGCCGTGCTGCGGGGCAAGGTGGGATTTAAATATTTGTTGGATTTCCGGTATCGCAAGATTTGGTTAATTTGATTATTATTATTATTATTAGGGGCCCAAGCCCGAAGGGCGAGGCCCCTATTCTTATTGTCCGGTTTTTTCTTCTTCATTAGGGGCCCAAGCCCAAAGGGCGAGGCCCCTATTATTATCGTTCAGTTTTTTCTTTCTTTCTTTCTTTCTTTCTTCCGTAACTTTTTTCGTCAAGCCGTTTGAGAAAACCACTGAACGGAATGGTCTGATAATGCTCTATACTGATAGTCCCTAATGTGAACTGGTGCAACATGCTTTCAGAATTTCGATTGGTCAATTAGTTTGGCAGCCATATTGGATTGAAATAAAACCGGAAGTGGCTGTTTGACCACTTTCTGAGGGTCTAGGCGTCTAGATTTTTTTATGGTATATAGTACAACTCATGTGTAATAGATATCAGCAATAAAAACTTTAGCGGTCACGTGACTTTTCCCGCCATTTTGTTTTTCCTAAAAACGGCAAAAAACACTTGAAAATCTTCTTCTTCAGAACCACCTAGCAGAATGCTCTCATATGTTGTATTTAGCTTCTATATATGAATCCCATTTA